CCATAGTGCTCAAAACAAGGATGAGGCTCGCTATGTCAGTTTCAGACACCCTCAGAAGAGTGACGAGGACTTCAAACTGCAGCTTCACTTCTTCAAAAACCACTTAAAGTGTGTCCGATATGCATAGAAGACAACTAGAGGACACTGAGTTACAGACTTCTATTTGTGTGTTGCTGTATAAATATGTACACCTAAGTCAAGACTTGCCCAGAGCCTTCCAGAATCTCTTTAAAGTTTTTCTCAGACATTGACTCATATTCTACAAGACACTAAGGACTTTTATCTTCTCTATTCTTGGTCTTCCCTTAATCAATATTCACTCAAATACAGAGTACCATCTCTTTGGAACAATCTACTTCCATCACAGTCAATATCTACCTTTCTACCTTATCTTGATTTAAAAAACACATATATATATATATATATAATGTGCAAATGGAAAAAATAATATACAGAATCAAACCTCATATAGTCAGACAGTAAGGGCTGCTAGTTAGTATAAACATTTCTAATCCGTTATTATAACTAGTTTAACAAATGAGCCATGGTGAAGGGATACTTCACATATGTTGTGATAGGACTTTGCATTTTAATTGCATTGTATGCATTAGGCCTGTTTCTTTGCGAGAACCTGGCGATTTTTTGTGTTGATCACAGTCCCTGTAACATCCAACATCTTAGGTCTCAGTTTACGTCTACAACACTGCTATCAAGCCATTGGGGATTTAAACACAAAAATCGATAGTGATTTCAAGAAAATATACAATATCACAAAACGAAATGTTGCAATATGATATTTTTCAATCTTTTCTTACACCCCTAATATGCATACCCCGTGGTCTTTATTGATCCGACGATCTGGTGTTAAAAATGTCAAGATACTGTCCACTGTGCTTTATTTTAAACGTGTAACTGGATGGAGCCACCATTGTTGTTTCACAAACAGTCTTCTTACTGCTTCACACCTAGCATGATCTGACTACAGACCGAAGCCTGGCAAGATGGATTCTGGCTTGATCGTGTGATTCCGTGATCTTGTGAGTCCACTTATCTTGCTAGGTTATCACACACAGGTTAAGATGAAAGTTTAGTTGAGTCAAAGGCAAAGGTCAGGTTGTAGACAGTCTGATAGACTTAAGCGTGACAGATTTAATTTATATAGCTTAATCTGCGTTATATAACTACTGAGTCACAAATATTTATTTATTTCATCCGTCCATTTTACATTATAGTTTTTCATTCTTTGATTAATTCTATTGATGAAAAATTTTATACATTTCATAATTGTTCACCATCATGGACCCATCACATCGTGGAACCAGTTAACAACTTTGATCAATTAAGTTTTAAAATATTTCTTTGAAAAACTGTAAAAATTATAAATAATCCCACTGTTAGCTAAACTAAAATGGATTGTAACTGGATGTGTTGTAATATTGAATGTGCCTTTGTATGGTCTTACTTACATAGACTTACAAGTGTGCCATGTACGTTTTGTTGTGTGTGGACCCCAGGAAGAGGGCTAGCAAACTGCAGCTAATGGGGATCCAAGAATAAAGAATGGTTCTCATTTTTTCCTTCATATTTTCATCATGAAAATTTTTTGTTGACAAAATCGTCACTGCTTCACAGGCAGTGTAGAGAGCAGGAATGATTCCAGCAACCAGAGAGACACGGAGCTGTCTTCCTGGCTGACACATCTCAAGCCTGTGGGTAGCAGCGGCCCTTGGCCTCAAATGCAGCAGCCTCTCCAATTGAAGTCACCGGTCTTACTTCACCGTGTCCAGCTTCCTGGGCTTCCATAGTATTCCATAGCCCTGCTTCTGACAGTGCAAGAACTGCTTCCCCTCACACTAACTTATCATTTTCTTGTTAGAATTACAGAAAGGCAATGTGTAACACCTAAATTTATCTTCAGTTCATACATACTGTCCGTACAGAAGCAATCTAATCACAGTTAAAACCATGTCTTTATCCTCTGTTAACTGTGCTGCATCACTTTATGCGTTCCTGGTTAGTCCATCCCAATCCCATACCTCAGTAGTCTTTGGGCTATTAAATGTCAGATCACTGGCAAAAATAAAATAAATAATTTTTCTGCATTAATTTAATTCTAACAAGGCACCTAGATTTCCTTATGCTGACTGAGACCTGGTTAAACCCTGGCGACTGTGTTACATTAAATGAAGCATGCTGTCCTGGTTTTAATTTTCAGCAGCCTTGGATCTCAGGTCGTTAAGGTGGACTGTTTTTACTTTGAAATTTCTCCTCATTTGAATGACATGGTTTTATCATAAATGGCAAGGTCCATCTACTCTGTAATATTACTCTCTGGTTTCATTCAGGAAATTTCTGGTCTTTTAGTATACCTTGTTTTAGGTGATTTTAACATACATACCTGCTGCTCCTCCGGTTCCTCTTTTACTATGGCTTTCATAGACATTGTGCATTCATTTAATCTCACTCAGGCAGTGGAGGGCCCCCGCACATTTAAAGGGATGCACCCTAGACATTGTCATGTCCTCTGGTTTTACTTTTGATAACACTGATTTCTGTCGGACCACAAAGCTACCCCCAAGGTCCATCCCTGGTCCATCTTGGATCCTTGTTGTCAGATATCTGCACCTGCAGCCAGAAACCTGGGTGTAATATTTGATAGTGACCTCGGTTTTGAAAATAAAATCACAAATGTTCTAACATGGTTTTATCAATTACGGAGTATCTCTAAGATCAGGTAGTTTTTTTCTGGCGGCCTGATCTTGAGAAAGTCATCTGTGCTTTCAATTCTTTCATTCATTCTAACCCAATTGGAATATTTAATTCTTTGTACTCAGAGTTATGCCAAAAAGCCATCTTGCACCTCCAGCTGGTACAAAGTGCAGCTGCTCAGCTTTTAACCAACACAAGACGCAAAGATCATATTAGCCCTGTTTTAGCCTCTCTTTACTGGTCACTTTTAGAATTGATTTTAAGATTTAACTGATCACCTACAAAGCACTTGCATATTTACTGCATCCCTTTGGGTTATTGTTCTTATCATATATTAGCTATCTTTTGTAAAATATTATGTAAAACATGATTTATTTTATTTGCCCTAGTACAGGTAATTCTGCAATATGTTTTATCTGTTTTATTGTTAGTATTTTATTTTATTCTTTTTTATTCTGCCTCACCTCTATTTGATTTTATTTGCTATAATTTTATTTAAAGTACTCAATACCAGTGAGTACTGGCCCATTTCAAGCACTGGATATTTCACATTATATTCAATACATAATCAATTTTGAGCAGATTATTTCCTGTAAAAATTGATCAGGTGATGAGTTTTCCTGATATTTTTAAGGACTTTTTATACAATTCTGTCTGCATTATGTATTTTTATGTTTAACAATCATACATACTAAATAGGCTTCTTTTTTGAAAAATTCTGTTTCCCTTTGTCATATTAGCGCTTTGGTTGTTTGGTTGGTTGGTTGGTTGAAGCTTTGGCAACCCCCTAGTAGGGGTCCTGACCCCCAGGTTGGGAACCACTGACCTAGGCTTATTGTTTGCAAGTTGAGTGAAACACATTGTTCATGTTAATAAAAAATCCTAGATTGTATACTTTTATTGGCTTGTAGTGTGCAAATCATTTTCAGATAGCAAACCACTTGTAGCCAGACTTACCAGCACCTTGTGGCCCACATCTGGTTTGGAATGACCGAGCCTGGCAGCCAGAACAGGGCTACAGCTGGACCTCAATGTGGCTCAGAGGCAGAGCGGGTCGTCCGCTAATTGGAAGGTTGTTGGTTCAATCCCCATCTCCTCCTGCCATGTCGAAATATCCTTGAGCAAGAT